CGCTCGAACGTTTTGCAGACCCGGCTAGACGAGGGGGCGTAGCGTTTTGTTCTAGGTCTCGAAACGACAGTGCTCCGGCTCCCTGTAATAATTGTTTCATTTTTCTGTAAAAGTGAAACTTGATAGACTGAACTTGACAAAAAAAAACGTTGTGTTTTGAAGAAATACATTTGGTAGCCAAAAGCCTTTGTACGGAGTGAAGTCTGTGGTAGACCAGCCGCTAATTATGTCTGAGGTTCTGAAGCTAGCGAGCCTCTTTTTGATTGGAATGAAGTAGCACAGTCAAGAGAGCGAGAAAAAAGGGGAAAGAAACTAGATCGGTTTGGAGGCCTCATAGATATCCTTTGTCCGCAAGGAGTCCGGGTAGCTGTTGCGGAACGGCTTGATCGGATCATTGGGTGTATTCAGAACATCCATTCCACTTCAGAATGTCTGACTGCAATCTTATATGATTGCGTGGGTGCATTCAGAATCTAAAGTCGGGTCATTGCGCACGAACTGGATACCCAGCAGTTAGAATACAAATAGAATGGTAAGCAGCAGGGGTACAATTAGGGTAAGACAAATAATTGGCATCTGGGAATCTTCGTCGCTTCAGAACTTTTGGAATGTAGTCCGGATGTGAATTGGGTGTCCTCAGCAGAAATCAGGGTGTCTTGAATCGAGATGACTGCACCGCCGGGGCATAATGACCGTCCGGAACACGCTGCCTATCAGGCCTGCGCCTGTTGTCAATGCACATTATCTGTTTCAAATTTCCCTAGTGAAGGTCAAAACAGAGGTCTGGGGGCCTTCAGAACGTCAATGTCAATTATTAGACAAATTGGCATCGACTTTGGATGAATGCTCTTCCTAAGGGTCTCTAGGCTCATTGCGCCAAAAAGGCTAGATTTGTGGCTGATGTGGCTGGATCTATCTGTCGCGCCTCTTGCTTAAACAATTCAGCAGGTACGTCTGGAAAGCGTCCTTTCCAGATACCCTCACCATCCCTCACCCTTGTCTACCAGCTTCGTTGGCAGTAGACAGAGGTGGCCATGCCCCCTGCTTCTTCCTCACTGAAGAATTTTCCTTGCTTCTTTTCTGCAACGTGTAATTCCTCACTGAGGAATCTCTTGAAACACTTTAACAACAAAAACTTCACACACACACACACACATCCCCAGGCTAAGCTGGTTGGGAAAATCAGAGGAAAATCATTGTGAATTCAGGAAGTATTCAAGCGGTATACATTCAGGAAACATTCAGCTAACCATTGCAGGTACACCGAGTTGATCAGACTCGGCTTCCACCATCACACATAGCTTCGTTGGCTGCGTTTGCGTGATGGCCGCATGCCCCCTGCTTGATGTCTAAATCTTAATCTCTTAATCTCTTGGCAACAGAGTGCTACACACACACGCCCCCCTTCCGATGGAAGAGGTAAGAGCTTGTTTTGCACGCCCGCCGATTGTACATAGGAGAGTGTATCTAAGCAAACAGCTAGCTACTGCAAGGCACTCAGAAGAGCAGGAAATCTTTGTCTCTTCAGTCTCGCTGAAGTAGTAGGCGGGGCTTGTAAATCTGCAGCACTGTGAAGTAGTGGATAAGAAACGCTTCCGGAATCTTGGTTGAGTATCGAACAAAGCCTCGATGGCGCACACGAACCAGATTGGGATTCAGTGGCAGTAGCTTTGGAACTCGTACGACAACGCCCTTGTCGCTACGGATACTTCGAGGCAATGCCATTGGCTGCTCGTCAAAGTCTAGACTGCAAGAAACTACACTGCTTCGCTGCTACAGATCATATAGGCCGGCAAAAACCAACCAGGATGCACAAGTGCTTGGGGACATAACTTATCAAGTGTCTACAGACAGCAAAACAAATACATGCATCCGCACTTACACGAATGCAACTGGCACTTCTTTGCCTCACAAGATAGGATGCTCATGTGAGCGAAACTCAAAGCGTTGAAAGTGGGGACCTTATTCGCCAACATACTCGTCTTCTGTGCAGCGAAGAATTTTGCAAGGGAGCCTGTTGGCTCTTGAAACCTGCTGCAGGTAATGTGTGCGTAGGCGCGTATCTAAAATCTCAGTAGTCACAATTCGTAGCCAAGAAGAGGAAACTGCAGCAAAATTAGAGATTCTTGTAAGGCTGTGTAACCAGTGAAGGCACGGGTTCTGTGGCGAACCACATGAAGGTAAGAAGAATGGCGAATCACATGGAAAAGCAGATAAAAGAATAAATGGAGACTACTGTTTAGGGTTTAGGGTTTTCGCGTGTATCATAGTATATACTATGTCATACTGTTATGATACTAATATCATGCGATTATTATACAATAGGATAGCCAAACAAGAATGTTGGCAATTCTTCGGGCTTCTACAGTACGTTCGTCTGACAAACCTGAGTGGGTTTAGGGTTAGGGTTTACCCTAGCCTAAACCCTCTCTTATATTTCTTTACATCAACATACTGGCGGCATGCTCATGGAGCATTGTCTTTCCCGAAATCCGTACGTACTATTGCAAGAGCATGCTGGAGAAAAGTGGATTGTACACGGAATGTATACGGATTGTAATATAGGGATTTTATAGGAGAGACTATGTAGGGATGCAAGGTCCAATAATAGAGAATCAAACGGAAAAATGTGGAAGCTGAAATGGAGGCGTTTGTGAGCCACCCAAAATTCAACAAAAAACCAAATCCCAGCTATCTGGGGTCTTCGCCGGTCTAATTCTATCTCTGAAAAAGTGGCAGCTCTCGCAATGACATTTCCAAGAAGTTTCTACTACTAACACTTTTTGGGAACAAAGGGTTCGCACACACGTCCAACGGAAAAGCCTGTTGTCATTCAGAATGGCGTAGTTATTCTCACTTCCAAAGTCAGGAACATTAACTATAGAACCTTTTAGAAACAAAGGGTCCGCATACGCGAACCAGGTCTGAGCCTGTTGTCAAAGTCGGAACCATCCTTTCCGGATAAGTCAAAAAGCACTCGCTTTTTTGTCTGGGAGAGAGAGAGAGAGAGAGAGAGAGAGACAGAGAGAGAGAGAGAAATTGTCGATCTCACGAAGTCTGAGCTTCTGCAACCAGTGTCGATGGCGAAATAATCGTAAAACCAAGAACTCATGCAGGAGTTGCCTGCTGAGATCTTTCAAGCCTCTCACTTGAACGTTCAAATGGGCTTGCGTATCCCCTAGCTGAGTGATGGAGTTTTGAAGTTCATGTAGGTGGTCTCGAATGTCAGCACAACCACTCACCGTAGCATCTCCAGGCCTCGAACTCGCTCTGTTGATGGGGTTGCTTGTTCTTGGTAACTTAGCCTCTTGCTGTAGGTATTTGCTGAAGAGAAACTTGATCGCAGCTTGAATACCAACCGGAGCTTCTTGCGACTACTGCTATTTGCCAAAAAATTGGGCCTTTTGAATCAAAAGCATTTTGTGACGCAGCCCCACCAAAAATCTCCAGGCCTCGAGCGCTTAACTTTTGAGGAGGTTTAGGGCTTTAACCTCTTGCTACAAGCACTTGCTGAAAAGAAACTTGATCGCAGCTTGATGGTAAGCGGAACCTTCTTGAAAAGACCAGCGTGTGTAAGAAAATTAAAATACCAACCAAAGGTACAGGTCTGAAGGCTCGTTCTTACATGAAAGTCTTTGCGCTCAGGTTTTCTTCGGCTTAGCTTCTGGCCATTCCCAAATCAGTCCGACATTCCAAGATTTCATGCTTGTAGGCCTGCAATAGTAGGTCCTTCGACTGTTGGTTGTTTGTAGTAGGCCTGCAATAGTAGGTCCTTCGACTGTTGGTTGTTTGTTTCTCTGTGAGTTTGTTTCTCTGTGAAGAGCTGCTTTGAATCACAGCCACTCTGTCACAAGAACGCCACAGGATCTCCAAGCCTCAAGCGCAAACTGTTTATGGGGCTGCTGACTTTGGCAATTCAGGCTCTTGTCGTATGTACCTACTGAAACGTAACTTGATCGCAGCTTGAATTTCAAGGGAGCTTTCTGCAACAACTGGTATGGGAGGAAACTGGGGCCTATTAAAATCAAAACCCATTCTGCGACAAAGGCAGCTTGAAATCTCCAGGCCTCAAGCGCTAAGTGTTGATGGGGGTGCTGGCTTTAACCTCTTGCTACAAGCACTTGATGAAACGAAACTCGGTGGCAGCTGGAATGCAAGCAGGACCTTATTGAAAAGACTGCTGCCTCAAAGCATGTTGAATACTGCACTTGATTTCCGACAGCTGCATTGCTATTCAACTGGACAACACACAGTGTCAAGTCATGTAGACGTCGTTTACAGTAAGTGTCCCTCTAAAATGAGGGAGAACAACACATTTGAAGGACCAAGAGTTTCTATTTCTTAGTAGGAAGAGGGGACGTCTTGCACTGATAGGGAGCGGGAGAAGCCACAATACCTTGAACGATCTTCACTACACTGTCACTACACCTGCTTGCCAATGCTGCGTGCGCGCCCATTCGAAAGATTTCGAGCTGCATTCCGCCACGATTTACAAGCATGCCTCATCAGAACGCAAGACAGCCGCAAAAACTTGTTCTGCATTTTGATTGAACGAGCACACGAGCGACCTTGCCTTTCTAGCCGAGCAAAAGCTCAGTGGCACCAAGGTAGAATACGTTCAACAGATGCCACACGAATTGAGTCATGAGCTTGGGTGTAGCGGTGCGAGCTTGACTTCACATCTAGGCCCGGCACTGGTACCTAACACTTGAACTTTCACTCATCACTTAAGATAGCAAAAGGCTTGCTTCAACCTTCTTACACTTGGATGGCTAATCTACATAGGGCTTTCGTGCAGGGTTTAGCCTCTGCAGCAGGAACAGACGAGACTCGAGAAGACAATCTTCTTCGACCGTACCAGTTCATGCCACTGCATGTGTCCACTTGCATTCCGTGCGTCAACGGTTCAACTTCGTGGATCAAGCAGGCTTGTATGCGGAAGTCAGACACGCACGACGCCCATTGGGTGCGGTCAGCACGGCAAACTCTGAGCAATCCACGTAAGGCCCAGCTGGAGCCACAGGTGCCTGAGCATGAGCAAAGGTAGCATCCTGCTGCTTGACAAAGCAGATTTCCAACATGAGCTGTGATTAAAGCAAAGCCTGCGGTGCCGCAGCCAGCGCGGCTTCGGCATCACCTATAAAGGGCCCGAAGCATGTCAAAGTTGTCTACCACTACGCCAGTGCAGAAAATCCTTACCTCGGCAACTTCGCTTAATCAGCAGCGTTGTTTAAGAAAACGAAAGTTGACGCAGCATCATTCATCATCGGCACATCACAGATGCGTGACTTGAACCAGCTGCACCTGGTGAGCGACCGCCGTGGGATGTGCCCAGACAATGGCGATGCATCTGAGGCCCAGAGCCTGATTACTTTTACCAGTTCTGACTACCGCATGTTTGGAGGCCGGCCACATGTTGAGGGCAGCACCGTTCCAGCTTCCCGCATATCCAAACCCAGCCGATGTTTGCAAGGAATTCATGGCCTGGCAGGTGCTTGCTAGGCTACGAATCCAAACAGACTTAAAGCAGGCCACCGATACGTTCGCTTGACTCTCCCTGTGCGAGGCCCACCTCAGTCTTTGTAGGTCATGCAACACGCTTTCTCTCGCTTCACGACCGCATGCATCGCACATTGAACAGCAGAGCCGCTGTGGAGATGATGCTGGCGAAGCTGCCTCCCCGCCTCGCATATTACTGCGCGAGGCAAATGCCAAACCTACAAGTCTCATCGTCGCAAGCGCCATAGGAGATGACACGACCATGCAATGACTTGCAAGCATGATGAAGCATGCTAAGCATGTCAGTCTCTCGGGCTCTGGCCAGGCATGTCTGGCCTGAGTCACGAGAAAACACTTCAATCTTACTCTCGCCTTCTTTTCTTTCAGATGCCAGAATATGCTCAATGTAGCATGGGCCCACAGAGGCATCCGCCTCTCTGCCTCACTTACACAGCGGACTTCGTCACTGGGCCAGCGCTCCCATCAGATTTTGAAATGCCCGGCAAAACTGTTCAGTTGTAGTGTTTCGTCTCCAAGCATGGGGAATGCAAGCAACACCAGTAAATGGTATCGCTCCAATGGCTTCCGGACTGCGTCGAAGAGTCAACATAACAAGGAGTTTCGCTTTGAGACTGCACGAGACATGCGAAGGGTCCGCCCTTACTTCCGGTTTCTAGCTTTGCGTGATGATGCTACAAGAATGAGTGCTAGTTGCCTTGCTGCTCAGGGAGCAACTTTGAATGGCAGCAATCATTGCGCGTTGCTGTTAAGGCCTCTGAGGTTCCTGCAGGTAAGGCATTGTTTGCGAGCGTCCAAAGTCCGACCTCGGTGAAGAAACAGACTCTAAGTGAGGAGCTCATGACTGTTCTCATACCCCACACGCTGCATCTTCAAGTCCGAGAGTCGGCGAAGATTCGCAACCACAGTGACCTACGCTCCGGACCTGCTGCGCGATGACTCGAGAACTTAAAGACAAACAGAACCGAACACAGTGGAGCCGCGGAGCCTGTGCCACATAGGCTCTGCCGGGCCCAGGTCTCAAACCGCCGACCTTTTTTGCACGAAAAAAGGACAGCACTTGAAATCAAGCAGCATCTTTCCATCACTCATTAGAGAGGGGGGTGACAACGATTGAACAACATCCTGGGTCAGATAGAATCACTAGAATGACAATGTTGCGATTTGATCTTAATTGTGAACCATGATTTTTACACACAACCTATACGACGAACCTGCAGGGTTCGAGGGAGTAATGATCCCTGAAAGGTTGCCAAGAAAAGAATTCCGGAGCCCAAAAAGCTTCAAAAGTTATGTGAGAAATCCAAATAACACACTCTGCCGCCAACTCTTACGCTTACGCTCGCTCCTCCTCCTAAGCATTCCTCCTACCACGACGATGATGAGCACTGAAAGAGAGCTCAGGCCCGACATAAGGAACTCAGCATTAGAGGAGATGTGGCACTGGATTGCAGACGAACTGTTCTCCAAACTGGGTCCACTAGTTTTCAATCTTTTGATATGAGATGCCGCAATGCAGCCAAGATCCTTTTCTTCGATAGAGTCGAGAGCCAGCTTTAAAGTTGGAATGCAGGCTTCTGAAACTTCTGACTTCGTTGCTTGACTTGTTTGCGGTCTGACCGCTTGCTGCTCAATCATTTCGTTGCACAGAAGGTGACTAAAGACACGAGACCCCAGAGCCCGCATGCGCGCACCTTGGAACATCTTGGAACCTGGATGCAGCATTGCAGATGCTGAGAAGCCATGTTTTCTCGTGTTATGTAGTGGAAGAAGTCCAGCAGGTTCAAGGCCCAAAATGGATACTCTAGCCAGGACTATACGTACATGGAAGGGACTGAATTCAAGAGTTAAAAAAAGATTAACTCAAGAGTTAATCTTGTGCGGCTGTAAGCTTCGAAGCCCCTGGCCTGGTTTTGTATTAACTCTGAAGTTAATTCCTCTGCGCACCGCCCGCAAAAACCATATGTCACAAAAGAATTAACTCTGGATTTAATTCTTTCAAATTTGACTTTACAGACATTTCGAGCCGATTCCAAACCTGTGAGCAGGACATATGGTCAAAGCAGCAGTAGAAGCAAAACGAGGCATGGCAATTCCAACAATGGGCAAGATTCTCGATTCCATTGGATTCATGAAGGCTTGGCTGCAAAAGACTTAACTCTGGATGTAATTCTTTTCGGGCTGTGCCCAGAAAAGTAGCAGTGTCACAAAAAGAATTAAATCGAGATGTAATTCTTTTCAGTTCGGGTTCCCGTACTGGTAAGGCCACAAAAAGAATTAACTCTGGATGTAATTCTTTTTGGCTTGGTTTCCAAAGGACAAACAGTGCCAACGTGACTTTCTGTAAACCAATTTGTTATTCCAAGAGTACTGCGACACTCCCAGGTGAATTCCAAGGTAGGGTTAAGGCTAGGGTGTGGGTAGGTCTAAACCTTACAAATCGGTCAAATCCCTAGCCGGCCTCCTACCTAAACCTGGGAGAACCCTAGCCGACAACCCCCCAAGAACCCTAACCCCTGCCCCCCACAAGGTCAGTTTGATTGCGCACAGAGGCTTGACACCTGAGGGTGCACATCAACTTGCACAGAGGTTTGACACCTGAGAGTGCACATCATTGCACACAGAGGTTTGGCACCAGAGGTTGCGCATGACTGATTGTGCGCAAAAATGCTAGGAGAACCTGAAACCTC